AGAGCTTAAACGTTATTAAACTAAAATTGGCCTTGCCTTTTTTTTTTTTTTTTTTGCAGAATTTTAAGAGTTGCCCATTTTGATCATGTAAATTTTGGCAAGAAACATACAACCAGGACTCCGTAATACCAATAATAGCAACATAGGTATTATCATTGGGGAAGTGCTAGCTTCCTCAATGAATGTTATTACATTCATTAGAGAAGTACTAATTCAGTATCAAACAATATAAGAATGTTAGATTCAATCTACGGAAATAAAACATAGTTTGATTCTTTGGATCAAGAGCCCTTTACTGGCACCAAGATACCTTTGAAGGGAATAAGGGTAAGAGAAATCAATAAAAATACTTGACTAAACTATAAATAATTTTTCCTACTTGTGTCATAATTATTCATTTATCAAACGTGCTTCAATGCCTTATAAAGACAATCTCAAAATAATTAATAAAAAAATCACATTGATGTACCTGTTACAGATTGACAAATTACCACATTATTATAATCAAATCTAAGTGGTAAATCCATAAGGGTCAACAATTACCACAAATACTCAATACTACTTAGAAATTAATTTTACCGTAATACAAGGCATTCTAAAAGCCTGAGTAAACTTAATATTTTTTTTTAAATCATGACGAATACTCCCCTTCCTAGTAAAAGTAAGAAAGTTTACATTATTACAGTGGACCCCCACATAACGATCACCTCCGAATGCGACCAATTATGTAAGTGCGTTTGTACATGTATGTTTGGGGGTCTGAAATGGACTAATCTACTTCACAATATTCCTTATGGGAACAAATTTGGTCAGTACTGGCACCTGAATATACTTCTGGAATGAAAAAATATCGTTAACCGGGGGTCCACTGTACTTGTAAACTTACTTGTGGCTACCTCCACCTACCCCCAAAAAAACTAACTCAAAATCACTTTCATTAAAGCTGCATCAGACATTACGTTTCTTAACCAAACCATACCCCGGCCGGGATTGAACCCGCGGTCATAGAGTCTCAAAACTCCAGCCCGTCGTGTTAGCCACTAGACCAGCTAGCCACAAATCTTGTTGTGGCTAGCTGGTCTAGTGGCTAACGCGACGGGCTGGAGTTTTGAGACTCTATGACCGCGGGTTCAATCCCGGCCGGGGTATGGTTTGTTTGCAATCGTGTCATTACGATTTCGTGAGTCATTACGTTTCTTATCCTTAAATGAATGTAGTTCTTTAAGCATCTGTGAATTCCTTCATTTCCAACGATAATATAGAATTTGTAACTACGTATTAGCAAACGAAGATTCAAGGGAGAGTGAGCACAGCACAATACTCCAAGGATGCTATATGTCAAACAAATGGTGGAGAAAGAACATACACAATAGCAAAAGAAAATGAGCTGTGTCAATAGCACTGCATATCATTTGCATATCATTATATAATGACGTTTTGAAAGTAAATCTACAGGGCAACCAAACATGGAATAATTAAGTGAACAGCTGCAATCCAAGAGCACTTACTGTTCTAAAAAGTTAACTGTCTTAGTGAGACAATTACCACTATACAGTGGAACCTCAAAAATCGAACTGCTCCCAACTCAACCAATTATGTAAGTGTATTTTTGTAAGTGCTTTTGTAAGTGTATTTTTGTAAGTGCTTTTGTAAGTGTATTTTTGAAGGTTTGAAATGGACTAATTTACATTATTCCTGATGGCACTTGGACAGCCTTCTGGACTGAAGAAAGTTCGATATTTGAGGTTCCACTGTATATCAATTCTTCAACCAACAAACTTATGCACTTTATTACAAATATATAGAATGTTTTAAAACTTGCCAATTAACAATTTGATGTTATGTTAAAACTTATAATAATGAATTTTTGTTAATGAGTGCAGTTGCACTCTGATGATGGTCTATATACATTTCCTTTATCACAATTATTACCCACAGTGAAAATTCATTACATAAAACATATAGTACACAATTTTTTTTACATGTATAGGTAACTAGTGTTTACATTTCACGAGTCGACCCTTTTATCAAACGGGTAATGATATACACACTACTCTTGACTGCAAGGAAGAGCTCATTAACCAAATTCCAGACAAAATATATAAATCATGAATATACACACTGAAACACACGCACACACACACACAATATAAATAGGGAACTCAAAACGCAAACATATGCATCAAAAAATTAACTATGATTATCACACAAGAGACAACACTAGAATGTTTCACAATGTAGGAAAAACACAACACTGTCGTACAGCATAAGATATACCGACATTAAATGCTCATGACAGCAAGGAAATTCATAAGCAAAATGAACAACTTAAAGGATGCCATGAACCATGTCAGCATCTTACAGCTATAGTCTCTGCTAACTAAGAGTCATATCACAGTACATGGAATAAAACCAAACCATAAATAAGTAGCAGATTTAAGAACTATGCGAAGTTCACTTAAGAATGTGTACATTACTTCCAACCTCCTACACAGACATTTGTGTTCTTGGAACCTGCGTAACATACTAATACAAGGAACACTGAATTAACTCAATTGTTGAACAGAATCATTCCAACGTAAATAAGACCTTCAGCATGTGGAGGGCGTGCATGACGCAAAGTGAAAAATCTCCCTCAATATACCTATATTTAATATTGGTCCAATGCCTTAAAAAAAATTATGCTACTCATTATAGAAATGTATGCAACAAATATCTAATGCATTATAAATAAATAAAATGCATTTTATAATGTGCCTGACAGTAATATGCAGTTTTTATTTGAGTAAGTACCACAAAATTATTATGTACAATGTTCTGCCTTATCGTTGCACCTAAAGATCCTGGATATATTTCTGTGGAAGGCAACATATTTTTATTAAATAGTAAAAGGCATGGTAAATATTAATAAATCAATGAAAAAATACTGTATGTAAGCAAAGTAAACTGATACAAGTTGGTCTTTGGTTTACTCCATAAGAACCTTCACTTTCATAGAACTATTACTGTACAGAGGATTAGTCATTAATAAATTTGTGCATTCAAAATATGACAATTAAAATTTGCACCCAGTGATATGGTATAGTGATAACAAGTGCCCAAAATGTTGTAAAACTCATATCCTCTTTGTGCAACATCTCAATATTCTGATGAGAAATAATATTCACTATCAAATATTGTCATGAGGCAGTCTGCTGCCTAAAACAGTGTGCTAAGTTGTTGGCAATTATCTCAGACCATCGTTCCAATCAACCCAAATGACACTGCTACATGTATTGTACGTTCTCGGTAGTCACACTATTGAATTTGTTTTTTTATATCACAAACCCCTAAACCTGTGCAGGATCATTGTGCAAGGAGCAGTAGTGACTTGATCCTCTGTTAGCTGTTCATGACCCAATATCTGTCCAGCCCGACTAATGGTGCATTTAAAATCTAAAGAGAACTTGGGCTATTATTGCTATACTCACACATGGCTGAACAATTACAAAGAGGGCGGCAGGTAAATCATTACCATGAAGTAGCATGTGAAGCTCAAGGTTCTATAAAGTGACTGCTTGCTATGGTGGAATGTATCAGAAATTTAAATATACTCGCTGGCATTAGTTTTTACATTTAGATCCTTAAGCTTAAAGTAGATTATGTTTACAAAGTCATCACAGAAGAAGTATGCAATGGAAGTTCCCCTACTGATATTTATTAAGGGAAGGATTACAGAAGAGACGATTCCCCATTTTTATTTTTGAAAATTAAGTACAGGTCGGCCATCACTAATTCGGCAATCAGTTATCCGGTTCCATCAGTAATCTGGCAAACTCACTAATCCGGCACACCACTGGTCCCAATGATGCCGGATTTGTGATGGCCGACCTGTACTGTACATTTTCCTTTTCTGGTTAAGTCACTGCTATTAATATATGTATGCAAACAAATAACTCCCCAAATTATACCAAACATACAGTAAGACTCATAATCCAGACCTTTTATTTCATCTACTGCCTAGTAATCACAAGACTGGCATGTGCCAGTTAATGAGCTTTGTCTCCTATGGCTCATTATCTTAAGCTGGGCTCACAACTCCTCAATTCATAGACACAGATTTGTATCTGTGATATTCTCAATTTGTAATAGTTTACCACTACTACTGTTAGTTTTCTATGGTTGACAGTTTTCATCAGCTTATTAGACAACCCTTTCTATGTGATGGTGTACAAATAGGTTAACCTCTTTTGTATGGAATGTGACGAGTAAATTGTTCTGAAGGATGGTGTATGACAAGTAGACTGTTCTGAAGGATGGTGTATGACAAGTAGACTGTTCTGAAGGATGGTGTATGACAAGTAGACTGTTCTGAAGGATGGTGTATGACAGGTAGACTGTTCTGAAGGATGGTGTATGACAAGTAGACTGTTCTGAAGGATGGTGTATGACAGGTAAACTGTTCTGAAGGATGGTGATGACAAGTAAACTGTCTGAAGGGGTGTATGACAAGTAGACTGTTCTGAAGGATGGTGTATGACAGGTAAACTGTTCTGAAGGATGGTGTATGACAAGTAAACTGTTCTGAAGGATGGTGTATGACAAGTAGACTGTTCTGAAGGATGGTGTATGACAAGTAACTGTTCTGAAGGATGGTGTATGACAGTAGAATGTTCTGAAGGATGGTGTATGACAAGTAGACTGTTCTGAAGGATGGTGTATGACAAGTAGACTGTTCTGAAGGATGGTGTATGACAAGTAGACTGTTCTGAAGGATGGTGTATGACAAGTAGACTGTTCTGAAGGATGGTGTATGACAAGTAGACTGTTCTGAAGGATGGTGTATGACAAGTAGACTGTTCTGAAGGATGGTGTATGACAAGTAGACTGTTCTGAAGGATGGTGTATGACAAGTAGACTGTTCTGAAGGATGGTGTATGACAAGTAAACTGTTCTGAAATGGTGTATGACAAGTGATGTTTGAAGATGTGTATGACAAGTAGAATGTTCTGAAGGATGGTGTATGACAAGTAGACTGTTCTGAAGGATGGTGTATGACAAGTAGACTGTTCTGAAGGATGGTGTATGACAAGTAGACTGTTCTGAAGGATGGTGTATGACAAGTAGACTGTTCTGAAGGATGGTGTATGACAAGTAGACTGTTCTGAAGGATGGTGTATGACAAGTAGACTGTTCTGAAGGATGGTGTATGACAAGTAGACTGTTCTGAAGGATGGTGTATGACAGGTAAACTGTTCTGAAGGATGGTGTATGGACAAGTAGACTGTTCTGAAGGATGGTGTATGACAAGTAGACTGTTCTGTAGGATGGTGTATGACAAGTAGACTGTTCTGAAGGATGGTGTATGACAAGTAGACTGTTCTGAAGGATGGTGTATGACAAGTAGACTGTTCTGAAGGATGGTGTATGACAAGTAGACTGTTCTGAAGGATGGTGTATGACAAGTAGACTGTTCTGAAGGATGGTGTATGACAAGTAGACTGTTCTGAAGGATGTTGTATGACAAGTAAACTGTTCTGAAGGATGGTGTATGACAAGTAAACTGTTCTTTGTCTGGGACCCGGATGTATCAACATGTGGGGTCCCAGACTATTCAACATCTTACCAGAAGATATCAGAAACACTGCTGGAACAAGTGTAGAAGTCTTCAAGACCAAACTGGACAAGTATCTTCACCAAGTACCAGATCAACCAGACTGTGATAGATATGTGGGGCAGTGGGCCTCCAGCAGCAGCAGCCTGGTTGACCAGGCAAGCTCCAGACAAGCCTGGCCCATGGCCGGGCTCAGAGAAACTCTCGAAACTCTTCAAAGGTAAGGTACCATGTGTGTGAAAGAACAATTTGATTCATACTCTGCATCTGCCAGTCCATAAAATATTACTGTTTGACCCATTAATTGTAATATTCCTTTTATTATGGACAATTTTGAAGATTATTATTCTTACAAGCCTCCACCTTGATTATCTCGTATTAATATTAAGGTAAAATCAAGATTTATTAAAAAGTTAATTATACTTGTCTAGACTTAAGTAGTTATTATGTACTAGGGTAAGTCTGCCGTAAATGCCCCGGCATGATAGTGACTGTCTTGGTACCTAACAAACCAAAATAGTAATTACACACTGTAACTTTTGCAAAGAAATGAAACTGTTGATGTTTTAATCTTTAAAGCGTAACCACGGGTTTTCAATGTTCTCCCAAGTGTTACTCTATCTCTGTATACAGTGGACCCCCGCTTTACGATCAGTTCCTAATGCAACCAATTATGTAAGTGTTTTTATGTAAGTGCGTTTGTATGTGTATGTTTGGGGGTCTGAAATGGACTAATCTACTTCACAATATTCCTTATGGGAACAAATTTGTTCAGTAATGGCACCTGAACATACTTCTGGAGTGAAATAATATCGTAAACCGGAGATCCACTGTAAGCACTTTTTTTTTTATTAACACACTGGCTGTTTCCCACCAAGGCAGGTTGACCTGAAAAAAGAAGAAACACCTTCATCATCGTTCACTCCATCACTGTCTTGCCAGAGGTATGCCTACACTACAGTTAAACAACTATAATATCAACACCCATTGTTCAGAGTGCAGGCAGTGTACTTCCCACCTCCGGCACTAAACTCCACCTTGCCAGTAACAATATACCATGTTGAAATAATTTTCTATTGTAGATTCACATTATCTACTGTACAGTAATGAAATATATATTTAAAGAGTCTAAATCTTGAGAGTCTTACTGTACAAAGAGTCATATGTACAGTACATATATACATTTAATCCAAGTTAAATTTCTACAATAAAACAGCAAACGGGGAACTCATTTCTTGCCTGTACAACCCATTATAACACAACATAGCTTGTAAAAAACTCACATTATGTATCTACTACAATTTTGCTCCATAAAAGATCCCACATTTATAGTACAATATCACTTCAAAAGCATATTGCCCTAGCAGGCATGTTAAGTAATACTGATCCATCTTAACGCACTATCACAACATGTCTATACCCTTCCTTTATAATCTTCTCAGACCCCAACAAAGTTCATTATGTCGCTGTCTTAATTTTCTGCCGGAAAATTGAGCATTCACAATACTACAATAACTGGATCAATGTTATTGCAATATGCTTGCAGTTAAAATAAAACTTATTATATACATGGTACGTGTGCTAAACTTTTATATTAGGTACCCCAGTTTGGTATATAATGTGCAATTTTGTGTAGGGATTTTTACAGATCATCCCTTTAAAAAAACACACACACACACACAGTGAAGAGGCGGGGCCAGGAGCCGAGTCTCGACCCCTGCAACCACAATTAGGTGAGTACACACACGTATACACACACACACATACACACACACGTACACACACACACGTACACACACACACTAACACACACACACATACACACACACACACACACACACACACACAAATCATACGACACGCCTCATTAGGATTTTTTTTTTAGTTTAGTCTTACCTCTTTTCTTTAACAGATAACTTGTTATAATGAAGTCTTGTACTGTACAGAAGTTTAGTCGAGAAACATCCCTTACCCTTCCGGTGCCTTTTTCTTCTCTGGTTCCCCTTTAAACTTATCGTACTTCCTCCAAGAGCCATTGATACACGTTCCTGTACCTCGCCACCAAGCATTGACATCCTCATAGTAATGTTGATGTCCCTCATCATGAAGTAAAGCACATAGCCGACACATGAAGTACGTATTGATGAACTCTCCCGTCCCTTTCCACCTGTTGAGAGTTACAGTGATTAGTCAAATCTGTTCAACCTTAAATTACGTAAAATAAAAACCTACATTAACAAATCAATACTCAAATCCGAATATTGAAACTGGAGAGTTAGTAAGCTCTCTCATGGATTACTCTATTCAAAAACAAAATCAACATTTTTTTAAACACGCTGGCTGTCTCCCGAAAAAGAAATACTTTTACTATCATTCGCACTATCACTGTCTTGCCAGAGGTGCACAAATACGACAGTTTAGATGTTCCTCCAAACAGCAAATATCCCAAACTTTAGAGTGCAGGCAGTACTTCCCACCTCCAGGACTTAAGTCTGGCCTGCAGATTTCCCTGAATCCTTTCATAATTATTATAATCAAAAAGAAGCACTTGACCTACTAGGGTCATACAGAATCCCTTCATAAATATTACCCTACTCACACTCTAACAGCACATCAAATCCTTAAATCCATTTGTCTCCATTCACTCCTATCTAACAAGCTCACGCATGCTTGCTGTAAGTCCAAGCCCCTCACACACAAAGCCTCCTTCACCCCGTCCCTCCAACCTTTCCTAGGGCAACCTCTACCCCGGCTTAGTAAGTAAGTTTATTCAGGTATACACAAATACAGTTACATAGAATTATCATACATAGCAGCATATGTGTAGAGAACCTGGGATAACCCAAAAAAGTCAGACTGAGTGACTTATTTCCATTGGGGTCCTTGCTTCCCTCCACTACAGATATATATACTCTCCAAGTCATTCTGTTTCGTTCTATCCTCTCTACATGTCCAACCACCGCATTATTATGTCTGATCAAATGATATAGTGCTACACCATGAGACATATGTTACTCATACACTGTACTACCCATTCATCATATACAGCGGACCCCCGGTTAACGATATTTTTTCACTCCAGAAGTATGTTCAGGTGCCAGTACTGACCGAATTTGTTCCCATAAGAAATATTGTGAAGTAGATTAGTCCATTTCAGACCCCCAAACATACAAGTACAAACGCACTTACATAAATACACTTACATAATTGGTCGCATTCGGAGGTGATCGTTATGCGGGGGTCCACTGTAGTTGGTAATGCTATCAATATTATTACATGGGACAGTAGGCCTACTACAGTGCTCCTTCATTCACTACCATAAATCTTATTATACAACTTTGGCTATGTGTGTGGCCAGTAGTAACAGCCTGGTTGATTAGACCCTGATCCACCACGAGGCCTGGTCTCAGACCGAGCCGCGGGGGCGTTGACCCCAGAAAGTCTCCAGGTATACCTCGCTATAGTAATAAAGGTAAATAATGAATAATTAACCTTTAAACGGTCCAAACAAATCAACGTTCAAATTCGTATTTCTACAAAAATAGATCTACTTTTTTTTATCATTTTCAAATATACGAAAAATAAAAGTATAAAAGTTTTTTTTACACGTTTTCAAATGTAAAACAAAAAAAAAGATTACATTGTTTTTACATACTTTCAGATGTTGAAAAAACGTATATATACGTTTGGACCGTTTAAGGGTTAAAATTTACCACTCTAACCCGTAAACGGTCCAAGCAGATCTACGTTCACATGTGTAGCGCTTCAAAAGTAGATCTACGTTTTTTTTACATATTTTCAAATACAGTGGACCCCAGCATAACGATTACCTCCGAATGTGACCAATTATGTAAGTGTATTTATGTAAGTGCGTTTGTACGTGTATGTTTGGGGGTCTGAAATGGACTAATCTACTTCACAATATTTCTTATGGGAACAAATTCGGTCAGTACTGGCACCTGAACATACTTCTGGAGTGAAATAATATTGTTAACCGGGGGTCCACTGTATAAGAAAAAAAAAAAAACGTATATATACGTTTGGACCGTTTATGGGTTAATCTGTCTGGTTTTAAGTAGTTTGTAAGTACAGTGGACCCCCGGTTAACGATATTTTTTCACTCCAGAAGTATGTTCAGGTGCCAGTACTGACCGAATTTGTTCCCATAAGAAATATTGTGAAGTAGATTAGTCCATTTCAGACCCCCAAACATACACGTACAAACGCACTTACATAAATACACTTACATAATTGGTCACATTCGGAGGTAATCGTTATGCGGGGGTCCACTATATTAGTGCCGGAAATGCCCCGACATGTTAGTGACTTTCTTTGTAGAATTAGAGGAGATCTGACTGAGGTGTATAAATGGAAAACAGGAACAAATAAAGTGAATGTAAATACGTAATGTGCTAAAAACATCTAACCGAGACAGGACTCACGGCAGTGGTTTCGAGTTCGAAAAATTTAAATTCGGAAAACATATAGGACAGCACTGGTTTGGTAAGAGTTGTGGATTAGAAAAAATTCCCGAGTACCACCATAGAAGCTAAAATATTGTGTTGTTTGTAAAATTGGATGACGAAGTTAATCCCATGTATCAGAAATCTGCACTATGAGGATAGACTGAGGCCCTGAATCTGCATTATGAGGATAGACTGAGGCCCTGAATCTGCACTATGAGGATAGACTGAGGCCCTGAATCTGCACTATGAGGATAGACTGAGGGCCTGAATCTGCACTATGAGGATAGACTGAGGCCCTGAATCTGCACTATGAGGATAGACTGAGGGCCTGAATCTGCACTATGAGAATAGACTGAGGCCCTGAATCTGCACTATGAGGATAGACTGAGGGCCTGAATCTGCACTATGAGGATAGACTGAGGGCCTGAATCTGCACTATGAGGATAGACTGAGGGCCTGAATCTGCACTATGAGGATAGACTGAGGGCCTGAATCTGCACTATGAGGATAGACTGAGGCCTGAATCTGCACTATGAGGATAGACTGAGGGCCTGAATCTGCACTATGAGGATAGACTGAGGCCCTGAATCTGCACTATGAGGATAGACTGAGGACCTGAATCTGCACTGTGAGGATAGACTGAAGCCCTGAATCTGCACTATGAGGATAGACTGAGGCCCTGAATCTGCACTGTGAGGATAGACTGAGGCCCTGAATCTGCACTATGAGGATAGACTGAGGCCCTGAATCTGCACTATGAGGATAGACTGAGGCCCTGAATCTGCACTATGAGGATAGACTGAGGCCCTGAATCTGCACTATGAGGATAGACTGAGGCCCTGAATCTGCACTATGAGGATAGACTGAGGCCCTGAATCTGCACTATGACGATAGACTGAGGCCCTGAATCTGCACTATGAGGATAGACTGAGGCCCTGAATCTGCACTATGAGGATAGACTGAGGCCCTGAATCTGCACTATGAGGATAGACTGAGGCCCTGAATCTGCACTATGAGGATAGACTGAGGCCCTGAATCTGCACTATGACGATAGACTGAGGCCCTGAATCTGCACTATGAGGATAGACTGAGGCCCTGAATCTGCACTATGAGGATAGACTGAGGCCCTGAATCTGCACTATGACGATAGACTGAGGCCCTGAATCTGCACTGTGAGGATAGACTGAGGCCCTGAATCTGCACTATGAGGATAGACTGAGGCCCTGAATCTGCACTATGAGGATAGACTGAGGCCCTGAATCTGAACTATGACGATAGACTGAGGCCCTGAATCTGCACTATGAGGATAGACTGAGGCCCTGAATCTGCACTATGAAGATAGACTGAGGCCCTGAATCTGCACTATGAGGATAGACTGAGGCCCTGAATCTGCACTATGAGGATAGACTGAGGGCCTGAATCTGCACTATGAGGATAGACTGAGGCCCTGAATCTGCACTATGAGGATAGACTGAGGGCCTGAATCTGCACTATGAGGATAGACTGAGGGCCTGAATCTGCACTATGAGGATAGACTGAGGCCCTGAATCTGCACTATGAGGATAGACTGAGGCCCTGAATCTGCACTGTGAGGATAGACTGAGGGCCTGAATCTGCACTGTGAGGATAGACTGAGGGCCTGAATCTGCACTATGAGGATAGACTGAGGGCCTGAATCTGCACTATGAGGATAGACCGAGGCCCTGAATCTGCACTATGACGATAGACTGAGGCCCTGAATCTGCACTATGAGGATAGACTGAGGCCCTGGATCTGCACTATGAGGATAGACTGAGGCCCTGAATCTGCACTATGAGGATAGACTGAGGCCCTGAATCTGCACTATGAGGATAGACTGAGGCTCTGAATCTGCACTATGACGATAGACTGAGGCCCTGAATCTGCACTATGACGATAGACTGAGGCCCTGAATCTGCACCATGACGATAGACTGAGGCCCTGAATCTGCACTATGACGATAGACTGAGGCCCTGAATCTGCACTATGAGGATAGACTGAGGCCCTGAATCTGCACTATGACGATAGACTGAGGCCCTGAATCTGCACTATGACGATAGACTGAGGCCCTGAATCTGCACTATGAGGATAGACTGAGGCCCTGAATCTGCACTATGAGGATAGACCGAGGCCCTGAATCTGCACTATGAGGATAGACCGAGGCCCTGAATCTGCACTATGAGGATAGACTGAGGCCCTGAATCTGCACTATGAGGATAGACTGAGGCCCTGAATCTGCAGTATGAGGATAGACCGAGGCCCTGAATCTGCACTATGAGGATAGACTGAGGCCCTGAATCTGCATTATGAGGATAGACTGAGGCCCTGAATCTGCACTATGACGATAGACTGAGGCCCTGAATCTGCACTATGAGGATAGACTGAGGCCCTGAATCTGCACTATGACGATAGACTGAGGCCCTGAATCTGCATTATGAGGATAGACTGAGGCCCTGAATCTGCACTATGACGATAGACTGAGGCCCTGAATCTGCACTATGAGGATAGACTGAGGACCTGAATCTGCACTATGAGGATAGACTGAGGACCTGAATCTGCACTATGAGGATAGACTGAGGCCCTGAATCTGCACTATGAGGATAGACTGAGGCCCTGAATCTGCATTATGAGGATAGACTGAGGACCTGAATCTGCACTATGAGGATAGACTGAGGCCCTGAATCTGCACTATGAGGATAGACTGAGGACCTGAATCTGCACTATGAGGATAGACTGAGGCCCTGAATCTGCACTATGACGATAGACTGAGGCCCTGAATCTGCATTATGAGGATAGACTGAGGCCCTGAATCTGCACTATGACAATAGACTGAGGCCCTGAATCTGCACTATGAGGATAGACTGAGGACCTGAATCTGCACTATGAGGATAGACTGAGGCCCTGAATCTGCACTATGAGGATAGACTGAGGCCCTGAATCTGCACTATGAGGATAGACTGAGGCCCTGAATCTGCACTATGAGGATAGACTGAGGCCCTGAATCTGCACTATGAGGATAGACTGAGGACCTGAATCTGCACTATGAGGATAGACTGAGGCCCTGAATCTGCACTATGAGGATAGACTGAGGACCTGAATCTGCACTATGAGGATAGACTGAGGCCCTGAATCTGCACTATGAGGATAGACTGAGGACCTGAATCTGCACTATGAGGATAGACTGAGGCCCTGAATCTGCACTATGAGGATAGACTGAGGCCCTGAATCTGCATTATGAGGATAGACTGAGGACCTGAATCTGCACTATGAGGATAGACTGAGGCCCTGAATCTGCACTATGAGGATAGACTGAGGCCCTGAATCTGCACTATGAGGATAGACTGAGGCCCTGAATCTGCACTATGAGGATAGACTGAGGACCTGAATCTGCACTATGAGGATAGACTGAGGCCCTGAATCTGCACTATGAGGATAGACTGAGGCCCTGAATCTGCACTATGAGGATAGACTGAGGCCCTGAATCTGCACTATGAGGATAGACTGAGGCCCTGAATCTGCACTATGAGGATAGACTGAGGCCCTGAATCTGCACTATGAGGATAGACTGAGGCCCTGAATCTGCACTCTCTAGAAAGACGTAGAATTAGGGGAGATATGATTGAGGTGTATAAATGGAAGACAGGAATAAATAAAGGGGATGTAAATAACGTTGTGAAAACATCCAGCCAAGACAGGACTCGCAGCAGTGGTTTTAAGTTGGAAAAATTCAGATTCAGGAAGGATATAGGAAAGTACTGGTTTGGTAATAGAGTTGTGGATGAGTGGAACAAACTCCCAAGTACAGTTATAGAGGCTAAAACCTTGTGTTTACCTGGAGTTTACCTGGAGAGAGTTCCGGGGGGTCAACGCCCCCGCGGCCCGGTCTGTGACCAGGCCTCCTGGAAGATCTGGACTTTAAATAACCCACTGGAAGATCTGGACTTTAAATAACCCACTGGAAGATCTGGACTTTAAATAACCCACTGGAAGATCTGGACTTTAAATAACCCACTGGAAGATCTCGACTTTAAATAACCCATTGGAAGATCTCGACTTTAAATAACCCACTGGAAGATCTGGACTTTAAATAACCCACTGGAAGATCTCGACCTTAAATAACCCACTGGAAGATCTCGACTTTAAATAACCCACTGGAAGATCTGGACTTTAAATAACCCACTGGAAGATCTGGACTTTAAATAACCCATTGGAAGATCTCGACTTTAAATAACCCACTGGAAGATCTCGACTTTAAATAACCCACTGGAAGATCTCGACTTTAAATAACCCACTGGAAGATCTCGACTTTAAATAACCCACTGGAAGATCTCGACCTTAAATAACACTACTCACCTATAATATTCATTATATCAGTACTCACCTATAATCAACCATACCCCCGGCCGGGATTGAACCCGCGGTCATAGAGTCTCAAAACTCCAGCCCGTCGCGTTAGCCACTAGACCAGCTAGCCACAATAAGATTCATTCAACTAGGTATATTTCTACATTTGTGGTCACAGAGGTGCCTATGTTAACCTTCCTATGGTGTAGAAATATACCTAGTTGGATGAATCTTATTGTGGCTAGCTGGTCTAGTGGCTAACGCGACGGGCTGGAGTTTTGAGACTCTCTGACCGCGGGTTCAATCCCGGCCGGGGTATGGTTTATTTGCAATCGTGTCATTACGATTTCTTGACTCACCTATAATATTCATTATATCAGTACTCACCTATAATATTCATTATATCAGTACTCACCTATAATATTCATTATAACACTACTCACCTATAATATTCATTATAACACTACTCACCTATAATATTCATTATAACACTACTCACCTATAATATTCATTATATCAGTACTCACCTATAATATTCATTATATCAGTACTCACCTATAATATTCATTATAACACTACTCACCTAAAATATTCATTAAACAGGTCATCATTTTGATCTAGTAGGTGAAGATAGTTAGCCAGTTGTTTGGGTGATTCAAAGTCATCCACGTGGATGTAGGATTTGAGAGGTGCTTGTCTAGCGTAGTCGTCAGGATGAGCACCCATCACTATGGGCAGGATGTGGTGACTGTGGATGTAAAACATGCAAATTAATATCCAGGACCGGAATGTGGGGGCCAGTAGGCCTCCTGCAGTGCTCCTTCTTTCAAATTACCAGTTAATATCTAGTACCTGCCTTGTAGGGGCCTGTAGGCCTCCTGCAGTGCTCCTTCTTTCGAATTACCAGTTAATATCTAGTACCTGCCTTGTAGGGGCCAGTAGGCCTCCTGCAGTGCTTTCATGATATCTAGTACCTGCCTTGTAGGGGCCAGTAGGCCTCCTGCAGTGCTCTTTCTTATAAGAAATGTCCACACGTTTGGCCCACACATGAGACTTTATCAGTCGTGTACCCAGGTAGCAAATGTGGAGGTAACAACATACATGTCTGTTACCGTAACTTACATGTCTGTTACCGTAACATACATGTCTGTTACTGTAACATACATGTCTGTTACCGTAACATACATGTCTGTTACCGTAACATACATGTCTGTTACCGTAACATACATGTCTGTTACCGTAACATACATGTCTGTTACCGTAACATACATGTCTGTTACCGTAACATACATGTCTGTTACCGTAACATACATGTCTGTTACCGTAACACATACGTATCTTACTGTAACATACATGTCTGTTACTGTAACATACATGTCTGTTACCGTAACATACATGTCTGTTACTGTAACATACATGTCTGTTACCGTAACATACATGTCTGTTACCGTAACATACATGTCTGTTTACCGTAACATACATGTCTGTTACAGTAACATACATGTCTGTTACCGTAACATACATGTCTGTTACCGTAACATACATGTCTGTTACCGTAACACATACGTATCTTACTGTAACATACATGTCTGTTACTGTAACATACATGTCTGTTACCGTAACATACATGTCTGTTACTGTAACATACATGTCTGTTACCGTAACATACATGTCTGTTACCGTAACATACATGTCTGTTACCGTAACATACATGTCTGTTACCGTAACATACATGTCTGTTACCGTAACATACATGTCTGTTACCGTAACACATACGTATCTTACCGTAACATACATGTCTGTTACTGTAACATACATGTCTGTTACCGTAACATACATGTCTGTTACCGTAACATACATGTCTGTTACCGTAACATACATGTCTGTTACCGTAACACATACGTATCTTACCGTAACATACATGTCTGTTACTGTAACATACATGTCTGTTACCGTAACATACATGTCTGTTACCGTAACATACATGTCTGTTACCGTAACATACATGTCTGTTACCGTAACATACATGTCTGTTACCGTAACATACATGTCTGTTACCGTAACACATACGTATCTTACTGTAACATACATGTCTGTTACCGTAACATACATGTCTGTTACTGTAACATACATGTCTGTTACCGTAACATACATGTCTGTTACCGTAACATACATGTATGTTACCGTAACATACATGTCTGTTACCGTAACACATACGTATCTTACTGTAACATACATGTCTGTTACTGTAACATACATGTCTGTTACCGTAACATACATGTCTGTTACTGTAACATACATGTCTGTTACCGTAACATACATGTCTGTTACAGTAACATACATGTATGTTACCGTAACATACATGTCTGTTACCGTAACATACATGTCTGTTACTGTAACATACATGTCTGTTACCGTAACATACATGTCTGTTACTGTAACATACATGTCTGTTACCGTAACATACATGTCTGTTACCGTAACATACATGTCTGTTACCGTAACATACATGTCTGTTACCGTAACATACATGTCTGTTACCGTAACATACATGTCTGTTACCGTAACACATACGTATCTTACCGTAACATACATGTATTTATTACTCAGCCTGGAGTTTTGTTCATTCTCAAGAATCTTGAACAGAGGCAGGAATTAACCCAACAGTGGCAGGAATTAACCCAACAGTGGCAGGAATTAACCCAACAGTGGCAGGAATTAACCCAACAGAGGCAGGAATTAACCCAACAGTGGCAGGAATTAACCCAACAGTGGCAGGAATTAACCCAACAGAGGCAGGAATTAACCCAACAGAGGCAGGAATTAACCCAACAGAGGCAGGAATTAACCCAACAGAGGCAGGAATTAACCCAACAGAGGCAGGAATTAACCCAACAGTGGCAGGAATTAACCCAACAGTGGCAGGAATTAACCCAACAGAGGCAGGAATTAACCCAACAGTGGCAGGAATTAACCCAACAGTGGCAGGAATTAACCCAACAGTGGCAGGAATTAACCCAACACTGGCAGGAATTAACCCAACAGTGGCAGGAATTAACCCAACAGTGGCAGGAATTAACCCAACAGTGGCAGGAATTAACCCAACAGTGGCAGGAATTAACCCAACAGTGGCAGGAATTAACCCAACAGAGGCAGGAATTAACCCAACAGTGGCAGGAATTAACCCAACAGTGGCAGGAATTAACCCAACATTGGCAGGAATTAACCCAACAGTGGCAGGAATTAACCCAACAGAGGCAGGAATTAACCCAACAGGGGCAGGAATTAACCCAACAGAGGCAGGAATTAACCCAACAGAGGCAGGAATTAACCCAACAGTGGCAGGAATTAACCCAACAGTGGCAGGAATTAACCCAACAGAGGCAGGAATTAACCCAACAGTGGCAGGAATTAACCCACAGTGGCAGGAATTAACCCAACAGTGCAGGAATTAACCCAACACTGGCAGGAATTAACCCAACATGGCAGGAATTAACCCAACAGTGGCAGGAAATTAACCCAACAGTGGCAGAATTAACCCAACAGAGGCAGGAATTAACCCAACAGTGGCAGGAATTAACCCAACAGTGGCAGGAATTAACCCAACAGTGGCAGAATTAACCCAACAGTGGCAGGAATTAACCCAACAGAGGCAGGAATTAAACCCAACAGTGGCAGGAATTAACCCAACAGAGGCAGGAATTAACCCAACAGTGGCAGGAATTAACCCAACAGAGGTAGGAATTAACCCAACAGTGGCAGGAATTAACCCAACAGAGGCAGGAATTAACCCAACAGAGGCAGGAATTAACCCAACAGTGGCAGGAATTAACCCAACAGTGGCAGGAATTAACCCAACAGTGGCAGGAATTAACCCAACAGAGGCAGGAATTAACCAACAGAGGCAGGAATTAACCCAACAGTGGCAGGAATTAACCCAACAGAGGCAGGAATTAACCCAACAGTGGCAGGAATTAACCCAACAGAGGCAGGAATTAACCCAACAGGGGCAGGAATTAACCCAACAGTGGCAGGAATTAACCCAACAGTGGCAGGAATTAACCCAACAGAGGCAGGAATTAACCCAACAGTGGCAGGAATTAACCCAACAGTGGCAGGAATTAACCCAACAGTGGCAGGAATTAACCCAACAGTGGCAGGAATTAACCCAACAGTGGCAGGAATTAACCCAACAGAGGCAGGAATTAACCCAACAGAGGCAGGAATTAACCCAACAGAGGCAGGAATTAACCCAACAGTGGCAGGAATTAACCCAACAGTGGCAGGAATTAACCCAACAGTGGCAGGAATTAACCCAACAGAGGCAGGAATTAACCCAACAGAGGCAGGAATTAACCCAACAGTGGCAGGAATTAACCCAACAGAGGCAGGAATTAACCCAACAGAGGCAGGAATTAACCCAACAGAGGCAGGAATTAACCCAACAGAGGCAGGAATTAACCCAAACAGAGGCAGGAATTAAAACCAAACAGAGGCAGGAATTAACCCAACAGTGGCAGGAATTAACCCAACAGTGGCGGGAAATTAACCCAACAGAGGCAGGAATTAACCCAACAGAGGCAGGAATTACCCAACAGGGGCAGGAATTAACCCAAACAGGGGCAGGAATTAACCCAACAGAGGCAGGAATTAACCCAACAGAGGCAGGAATTTAACCCAACAGGGCAGGAATTAAACCCAACAGAGGCAGGAATTAACCCAACAGTTGGCAGGAATTAACCCAACAGAGGCAGGAATTAACCCAACAGAGGCAGGAATTAACCCAACAGAGGCAGGAATTAACCCAACAGTGGCAGGAATTAACCCAACAGAGGCAGGAATTAACCCAACAGTGGCAGGAATTAACCCAACAGAGGCAGGAATTAACCCAACAGAGGCAGGAATTAACCCAACAGAGGCAGGAATTAACCCAACAGTGGCAGGAATTAACCCAACAGAGGCAGGAATTAACCCAACAGTGGCAGGAATTAACCCAACAGAGGCAGGAATTAACCCAACAGAGGCAGGAATTAACCCAACAGAGGCAGGAATTAACCCAACAGTGGCAGGAATTAACCTAACAGAGGCAGGAATTAACCCAACAGTGGCAGGAATTAACCCAACAGAGGCAGGGATTAACCCAACAGTGGCAGGAATTAACCCAACAGAGGCAGGAATTAACCCAACAGTGGCAGGAATTAACCCAACAGAGGCAGGAATTAACCCAACAGAGGCAGGAATTAACCCAACAGAGGCAGGAATTAAAACCCAACAGTGGCAGGAATTAACCCAACAGAGGCAGGAATTAACCCAACAGTGGCAGGAATTAACCCAACAGAGGCAGGGATTAACCCAACAGTGGCAGGAATTAACCCAACAGAGGCAGGAATTAACCCAACAGTGGCAGGAATTAACCCAACAAAGGCAGGAATTAACCCAACAGAGGCAGGAATTAACCCAATAGAGGCAGGAATTAACCCAACAGTGGGAAAAATGAACCCAACAGAGGCAGGAATTAACCCAACAGAGGCAGGAATTAACCCAACAGAAGCAGGAATTAACCCAACAGAGGCAGGAATTAACCCAACAGTGGCAGAAATTAACCCAACAGTGGGAAAAATGAACCCAACAGAGGCAGGAATTAACCCAACAGAGGCAGGAATTAACCCAACAGAGGCAGGAATTAACCCAACAGAGGCAGGAATTAACACAACAGTGGCAAAAATTAACACAACAGTGGCAAAAATT